GGATCTGACTCCGGGCGGGATCTGACTGACTCCGGGCGGGATTTGACTCCGGGCGGGGATCTGACTGACTCCGGGCGGGATCTGACTCCGGGCGGGATCTGACTGACTCCGGGCGGGCTCTGACTCCGGGCGGGCTCTGACTCCGGGCGGGATCTGACTGACTCCGGGCGGGCTCTGACTCCGGGCGGGATCTGACTGACTCCGGGCGGGATCTGACTCCGGGCGGGGCTCTGACTCCGCCCGCGGCCCCGCCCCGCCGCGCGCGTGACCGTGCCCAGGCGGCGCGCACGGTGCGGCGGCGGCGGCGAGATGCGAGCGGCGGGGCTGCGGCGGCGGCTGCTGCTGCTGCTGCTGCTGGCCGGGCTGGCCGCGGCACCGGGCGGCGGCGGCGCCGCGGCGGCGGAGCAGGGCGGGCTGCCGGCGAAGAAGCTGCGCATGGCCTACGCCACCGGGCCGCTGCTCAAGTTCCAGATCTGGTGAGGGGCGCCCGCCAAGATGGCGGCGGCCAAAATGGCGGCGCCCGCCGGGCCTTCGCCTCTGCCTGCCTCGTTCGTTTTCCTTCCCTTCCTTTCCCTCAGCGCTGCGCCGGCCTCGCTCGCTCTTGTCCGTGGAGGAGCCTCTCCCAGGGCCAGGGGCCATCCCGCCCCAGGCGAACTGTCGGGGCTCCCGGCCCTGTTGGGGCGTGGGAGGCGGCACCGGGCCGCGGGCGGCGGCTCTTTCAGTGGGCCCGCTCTACGGCCTCCCGCAGTAAAACCGCTCTTTTCGGGCCCTTTAATGCTGTGTGTGGCGTTGTGCTGGTGCGGGACTAACGTTTGGGAGGGCCCGATGTCCTGGCAATGGCAGTGATTTTGTTTTGGTGCGGTGCCCGTATTGCGGTCGGTGCGCTCGGGCATCTTTGCAGCATTCCGGCGATGCCGCCGGTGGTGTCAGCGGCGCCGAGCAGGGCTGAGGCAGCCCCGGCGCATGGAGCCTGTTGACGGGGAGAAAAGAAACTCAGCAGGCCCGGAGCACTCGTCACTAGGGTTCCCGGCGCTCGGGGTGGGCAGGGCCGGGTGGCGGCCGGAGCGGAGCCTGGGCGGGCCCTGCGGGTCCCTGAGGCACCGCGGAACCGCTCGGGGAGAGGGCTGGGTTCGGGCTCTTCGGGATTTTCCGCAGTTCTATAGAGGCGGCTGCTGAAAGGCGGGGCAGAGGAGCGCTCGGGAATGTCGAACTCCTGCAGTTCCCGTGTCGTGCTGACATAGAGATGGCTGGGAGCGGCATTGCCTGTCTGCACAGTCCCAGAGAGGGATTCAGAGGGCTCTGGGTGAAGATCGGTTTGTTTGGGTTTTTTTTGGCACAGAGCAAGGGATTGCTTACATCGACTTCCTAAATTAATCCTAACTTAACAGATTTTTCCAGGGAAAGTGAGGGATTTGATGAATAGTGGGTATTTCCAGAGCTCTGTGTCTGTGATGGAATGTGGAGCAAATCATTGTCACACCCGGGGCTTACCTGTTGGGATTTGTGATGTGTAATTTGACTGCAGATCAGGCTTTCTCTGTGCCATAAAAAATGTGAATTCTGTTTTAACTGGACGGGTTATGAAGAGGGTGAGTGTTGCTGAGCAGTGGCGGTACCGGGCAGCCCTGGAGCTGTGGTGACAGTGCTGTCTGTGTTCAGTGTCTCCTGAGGCTACAGGCGGGTGTTTGAGGAGTACATGCGGGTCATCAGCCAGCGGTACCCAGACATCCGAATCGAAGGGGAGAACTACCTTCCTCAACCTATCTATAGGTGAGTGTGTCACCTCCTGCTGTCTGTCTGCTTTCCAGTGCTGAACGCACGCATTTACACTGAAATAATACTAAAAATGTTAGCTTAAGGTGATTTTCTATTGCAATTGCATACAAGGACGCTTGTAGGATTTTCTTGTATGTGATTCCAGGTAGCTGCCTTAGTTTTCTATACAAGTATCAGTATCTGGCTATCTATGATGCTGCCTGACACATCTTACTTAAAATAAATTACATAACTTTTTTTTGAACCAGTAAATTTTCCCAGCTTTTCTTCATACTGTGTCTGGAAATAAATTCAGTTTGTTGCTCAGGCTTATGCACTTAGGGACATATCCCTGTAATGGGTTAAGGACACAGAGGAAGGGAAGGTTCAGTGTTAACATCTGAATCGGGGGAGAGCTCTCCTCAGGTTGGGGGCTGCTGGAGTGGCCTTTGCTGCAGCTGTGTGGGGAAAGCCCAAAGAAATTAGGAAAAAGGCAAAATAGTGTTATTCCTGTTACTTAAAGCAGTGTGCCCACGCTGGAGAGTGATGCCATAGTTACTGGGTGGCTCCTGGAGCACTCGTTGGCCCGATTTCTGGCAGGGCTGTGGTGGTGGGAGGCTGCGGGGCACAGTGCCTCAGTGTGGGCTGGCTGTGGGGAGCTGTGCATCACTGGGAAATGCTCCACAGGAAGTGGTGCCTGTCAGTCAGACATGTCTGTAATGTGGAACAGCTTTAGAAACTGAATCTGTTATCCAGTTCAGGAATATATAAGTTAAAAGCGAAGTCCCATTTGAAGTCTGCTGAGGAGCAAAAGAATCTGTGGTTTACAGGAAGGTGTCATTCTGGGGTGTTGTGCAAAAGCAGGGCCTTACTGGGGGTGTTGTGTGTGTTGCTTTTTAGTTTTGTTGGTTTGATTTGGTTTGGGGTTTTTTACAGTGAGATAAACCTTGGAAAGTTTCATACTTCCCCTGAAACATTTGATTGTATGCTGTCAAAATTCTAGTGAGGTGAATTACAGTTGTGTATAGTGAAGTAGGAACTGAACCTTTCAGTCACTGTTGTGTGTTGTCTCCAACAGGCACATAGCATCCTTCCTGTCTGTCTTCAAACTAGTATTAATTGGCTTAATCATCGTTGGCAAGGACCCATTTGCTTTCTTTGGCATGCAAGCTCCAAGCATCTGGCAGTGGGGACAGGAAAACAAGGTAAAGGACATACTTCTTTTAGTCTGAAAAAGCAGCTTCAGAGTTATTTCATGAGGGTGCTCTGGGAGTCCCTCAGTTCTGACTGATTTACCTTTCATATGCTGCAGCCTTATGGTAGAATAATTCTTACCAGTTGTGCTTTATGCTTTTGATAAACCCATGTGTGCTTCTGTGATCTTTTTCCATGCTGCTGCTACTACAGAGGAGCAGCTGAGGTTAATGTGCTGACAAAGAGGATAAAAGAGTTCTTTGTTTCTTAGGGTTCAAGAAGAGCATTTCAAACCAGTACTGTTGATGTTAAAATTACAGTTTCCCTTCTCTGTTGTCTCGTAACGGTTTTGTAGTCGATGCTTCCATCAGACTCCAGATAGATTAGGCAGCAATTAGAAGGGCATTAGAACAATGAATTTGAAATGTTGTGGGTATTTTTGGAGAGCAGACTGACGTGACATTGTGGGAGAATATCTCCATGAGTCAGTAGTGGTGATGCCAGTAGATTCAGGGTGTTGTAGTCGGATTTGGAGTAACCTTGTTCCAGATTTATTCCACTAAACTAAAGTAATTTACAGACCTCCATGCTGAGCTGGTAGCTGGGTCTTTCACTGGCCAGTTTGCATGCCCAGAAGCTGTAATATTTCCGGTTGAATTAAATGGGCCAACTCTGTGCCTGGGTGGGCTGGCTGCAGTGTGTAGCTGCTGTCCCTGTGCCAGGTTCTGTGGTGTTGCAGTGACTTGTGTGCGTGTGCCTGTGAACAGGAAAAGGAAATCAGAGAGGTGCTGGCGGTGAGGGAGGAGCTGTGCTGTGAAGATGCTATCCTTTCCTCCTTAGTCACCCACGCGCAGAGAAAATTCCAGATGAAGACATGGCGGCGTGCAGGAGGGTTGGTGGTGCTATGCATGTGACTTGCCTTGCTCAGCTGTTTGTGCTGGACCCTGGGCTCTGTGGTCTGGAGATTGCTGTGACAGTGACTGGCTGTGTCTGGGAGCAGTTGAGTTCCATGTCACACTGCCAGCCCCGCTGCAGCTGGCTGTGCTGGGTCCGGAGGTGTGCGGAGGGCTGGAGCTGGTTTGGTGCTTTTCTGGGGAAGGCAGGGTGCACAGTCTGTAAAACAAGGAAAGGGAGGTGTCTGTGGATGGGAACATTCCTTGAGCAGTCACAGAGGGAGTTCAGAGGCACCTGTGAACAACAGCAGGCGTTCCTGACTTGGCTGAGGTCTGTGGATCTTTGCTCTCTTCCAGGTGTACGCCTGCATGATGGTCTTCTTCCTGAGCAACATGATTGAGAACCAGTGTATGTCCACTGGGGCTTTTGAAATCACTTTGAATGGTGAGCTGAGACTTTGTTTGAGGAGTGTCACATATACACACACACGTGAGAGCTGTGGAGTGTGGAGAATGAGGAATGGTGTCAGGAAATTTATGTCCCAAATGTGATATGTGGAAATTGCCATCCATTTGTATATTCAGATGTTATCTTATCAGAATAAATGATGAAAATCATAGAAGTCTTATAAAGCAATTTATACAGATGTCAGATATTCTAGAACAGCTCTGTAAAAACTTACTCAGAGGGCTGTTTGTTGCCTTGGAATAATTGTGTTGTATTCTTTCTTTGTGTGTGATGTGCATTAAATAAGAAACCATTAGCTATGGGCATGTACTCTCCAATTAGATGCTTTCCCTGTCTGTTCTGCAGCATGCTTGAGCTTTGGAATCCTAAAGAATCCATTACTATTACCAGATTATCAGCAGTGATGGACAACAGTACTGATTTTTCAGGCTGAGAGGAATGTCAGTGGATATTTTGCACCTCTCCATCAATATGATATGCTTATAAGTGACTCTGCTCTCCTAGTTGGGCTGGGGTTCAGCATAGCCAGAGGTTGGAAGCATTGTTGATTCAGATGTTTTCCTCAGCATAGATCAGTACCAACTCACACAGCTTCCTAGAGCTTCTCAGTTCCATGTTTACACCAGCTGTGCCTGTTTTCTGATGCTCCCAGTGTAACGGTGTTTCTCTCCCATGTGTGTTCTGCACTAGATGTCCCAGTGTGGTCTAAGCTGGAGTCTGGCCACCTCCCTTCCATGCAGCAGCTTGTACAGATCCTTGATAACGAGATGAAGCTCAATGTGCACATGGAGTCAATGCCCCATCATCGATCATAGCCCCATCGATCAGCACTGAAACTTCTCGTAAGTCTCCTCCAGTCACCAGTGCGTGTGCCCAGGTAAGACGGGCACACTGCAGACTGGATTTTAGGATTGTGTGTTTGTTCAGTTAAACGTTTCTGGTGAACCAGCTCCCATGATGTTAAACTGCCACATGTGGTGTCACAGAGGCTGTTTGGGTGGGAGGTTTTGGGATGTGGCTCATTCTGCCTGTTTCGGAGCAGGAAGCTGGCATTCCATGAGGCAGGAGAAGGTTACAGCAGGCAGAAGGCCTAATGTCCATGAATTGTGTGGTGCAGGGATCAGAAACATCGCTTTTGTGCATTAGAACAGCCTCTGTCCAGGGGCTTAAGGTCTCCCTGGCTTTTAATGCAGTTGAATTCCAGCGCCTTGGAGAACAGGCTGCTGTCTGTTCCTTGCTTAACCCTGGAGAGCAGAATACTGTCATGCTCTGGTGTGCTGCCCTGCTCCTCTGCAAAAGCTCCACGACTTTTGGTAGCACGGAGTTCACATCCTGTAGGTATTTTATGACAAACCACTTCCACGTCCCCACGTCACCTGTGGCTTTCAAAGCACGTAGCTTACAATTCCCCACCTCGGGGCAGGCTCAGTGCCGGTGTGCTGCTGTGGCACAGGGTGTTGCTGGCTGTAACCCAGGTGTCTCTCCACAGGCGTTGGGTGGTGGTTCCTGGGCCGCGTGGTGCAGACCCATGAAGGCCTGCACTGAAGACAGCCGCTGTTGGTGCAGGCTGGATGCCTCTCTTGCAGCCACGTTGTGCCTCCTGGACAAACACTCAATGAGCCCTGTTTCAGTGCTGGCCAGTCCACACTGCACAGCCATGAGTGCAATAATACTGTATAGTTTTTTTAAGACTTCATTCGACCAGTTCATAGATCAGCAATGCAGGCATTACTAATGGTAACTTATTTTATATACATGTTTCACACTATGGCAGATTGAGTTGATACCTAATTTTTCCTTGAAAAGAGAAGTTTGTTTAATCTGTTGTATTTTATATGAATTTATGTTCTTTTTGTAGTTTAAAATGAAGTTATAGGAGTGTCTGATACTGTCCTAAGCTGTTGAGTAATTGATAGCTGTCTATCAAATCTCTTTAATGTGGTTAAAACAGGTTTGTATATTTTTCAAAATCTATGGCAGAGTCAAACAGTGCATTATATACTGAATTATATAAGCAAAATTATATGCAGAATTATTACATCACTTGGTGACTTCAGTGAAAATTAAAATCAGCTGCTCTTTAATCATGTGGGCCAGCTCCATCAGTTCTTCCTTGGCCATTTGAGAGATGATCTGGGCCTTCCTGCTGTCCTGAATAGAACCCAAGAACATTAATTGAAATAAAGAGTTCCCATTTCCTGTGTGAAGTACCTTGTTTGTCACCGATGGACATGCTTGAAAAACTATATAAAAAGCCAACTTTCCAAAGTTACTGACCTTGCATTTGTCATGTGTAAGCCCCCAAGAACCTCCAGTGTGGGGAGGGCACATGGGGCTTGGTCTGATCCTTCAGGCACCTGCCACAGTTGAGCTGTGGCCTCCCTGGGGGAAGCTGGCCAGGTGAACCCCTAGTTTGAAAGGCAGCTCTGAGAGGCTGGGAGGTTCCTCACTGCTGACTGCAGCACCACAGGTCTCTAAACACCCACTGACTGCTTTGTGTTTGCAGTGCTTGAACCAGAGCCCATCCCAGGCTGCAGCTGGTGCTCCCTGGAGCCAAGCATAGGTGATTGGGGATTGCTTTGGGCACTCTGAGGGCATTTGTTGCTCTCTGCACAGGGAACCACTGTGTCTTGTACCTGCAGCTGGCTGAGCTGCCGTGGGCACGGGCACCAGGAGCACTTGGGGTGTTCCTGCTGGTGCCACCTCGTTAGGAGCGGCAGAGGTGTGGACGACTTGAGCAAACAACTGCCCGTGTAGCTGTCCCAAGCCCTGCTTGGGTGTGCTCGTTGTCCTTGTGCCTTACCCGAGGGCTGAAGCGACTACTCCGCTGGGGCTGGAGACATTAGGGAGCCCGCTCAGGAGCAGTGCACTGCTGCGGAGCACGGGATTGCTCTGCTCGAGCAAAGCCCTCTTGTGCCTCCATGACCAAGGTGGTGTCACTGCGGGCTGGTACTGCCTGCCCTGAGAAAGACCCATTTGGGGCTGTGTGGATCAGCCTGGGCTGCCCTTTGCTCTGCACCAGGGCAGGCAGGGCCAGAGGAGAAACCTTGCTGAGCACGTGCAGGTGCCACAGCATCAGAGACTGTCTCTGGCTCATTTTGCCTTACACCACACACACAGAGGTCAGAATTGCTGGGCATTTACTATGGCCTTGATGGAGCTGTGCAGCTCATCACTTATGTCGGCAGCCATGCAGAGCTCCAGGATCTTCACAGCCTGGGTCATGAGGTACATGGGAGGCTGCATTTTGTTCCACTGCTCACTGGAAGGGAAGTTGATGCATCCCCGCATCCTGTCGCAGAGCTGCAGGATCCTCACACGGAAGGCAAGCAGCAGGAGCTCATCCTCACCCAGCTGGGCTGGAGGAGGCAGCTGGCTGCTGGTGCTGACCTGCAGAACAGAGGATATGTGTCAGGCAGAGCCACCCGAGCTGGGGATGGGGCTTCTGTCTCCAGCAGAGAAACCTGCCCCTGTGACAGGAGCCTGAGGAGGAAAGGAGCTGCCGTGCACCCTGCCCACACGGATCATAGCTCTTCTCCGTGGCAGAGCCAGGGTGACCGTGTGGGTGTAGCCAGGGACCCACCTGGGAGTGGAGTTCCACACTGTGGCCCCTTTCAGAGAGCTGGGGCTGGCAAGTGCCCCATAGGAGTGGAATACGTGCATCTCCACAGCTTTCTTTTTGGGGACAACATGGGGAGCATCCAGCACGGGATAAGCACAGAGGGGAGCTTCCCTAGCTGCCCTGCTCCCGCTGTGGGGAGTGGCTCAGCACAGGAACAATTACCTGCACTTTGGTTCCCATGTTGAATTTTGCTTGTCGCCCCATGGCGAGGAAGGAGACGAAGATCTTGTCCTGGGCCAGGATCCTGACCCCCACGTGGCAGTTCAGGGAGATGAAAATGGGGCTCAGTGGGACTTGGGGTCCTGGTGACAAGTTCGGCCACATCCACTTTCTTACCCTGTTGCCTGCTTGGTCCAAATACTGCCCACCTTGGAGACTCATATTTATCCTAAATAAAAGGGAAATGGAAGCTCTGAACCCTGTAAGCTCCTCTGGCAGAAGGTCACTTATTCCCCTGAGGGCTGGGACAGAGGCACAGCAGGGGAAGGGTCTGTCTCCCGCCTCTCAAGGCACGGCTGCATTGCCTTGCTGCTCTGGGGGCACCTGAAGCAAGGCCTGTGAGCTGCTGAATTTGTCTATTTTTGGGTACTATTAAAAATACCCTTTATGGTCTTTGAAATGTCAATGCACAGAGGAGACAGCAAAGCTGCTGAACGCACCATTCATCTCCAGTTGGGTAATAGCATGTGCTCCTGCCATCCGACTGAAACAGTGCTCGGATTTTGGTTGTCCTTGGCTCATCTTCCTGTACTATGCACGTCAGCTGGTCTCTCGCTTGTGTAATGATGATGGCCAGGTTTCCAGATGGATAGCTGCTGCTAGGTAAGGTGTTTGTAACCCTCTGCTTTGCTTGGTTGATGTGTTCTTACGCGCTGTATACTCCCAGGTGCTACTCTGGGGTGTAAAAACGGATACATTACCCAGGGCACTGTGTTAAAGGTGTGCTGCTTCCTTGGGCTGGGTCTTGGAAGCTAGTGCTCATTGGAGCTGCTGGCTGTTCTTTGAAACCTCAGCCCAGGAGCTGTGTCAAGTTTCACTGCTGCTCCTCAGAGTGAGTGGGAGTGCTGAGCTGGGTTGTAATAAACTGGACTGGGACAGACTTAAAATTAGTAAAGCCCTGGACTAAGGCAGGCAAATGAACCGCGTAAAGGATACAATAACTGCGAGGGTCCATCTGGGAGAATGGTAAGGAATTTCTTTCCATTTTTGTAGTACTTCTGCACCAATTTACCCTTCCCCACCTAAGATTGGAAGGATAAAACGGGTAAGAGCAGGCTGGCACAGCTGCCCTGTGAAAACAAGCACTGCTGGGCTCCAACTGCTCGGAGCGCTGACACATCCAAGGTGCTCCCGTCGCTGTCGGCCGCAGGTACCTGCCTTCTTCGCCAGAAGACTCAAGTCATAGCCGAGGACGCCGCGGGACGTGGGTTTCTTGTCCCACTTTTTCTTGGGCTTGCACTTGGGCTTCTCTTCAGGACTGGACTCGGGCTTGGGCTCCTTCTCCAGCTCAGGCCCCTCCTCGGGCCAGGGCTCCGGCTCGGGCCCAGGCTCCTTCTCCAGCTCGGGCCCCTCCTCGGGCTCCGGCTCGGGCCCCTCCTCGGGCCGAAGCTCTGGCTCCGGCTCGGGCCCCTCCTCGGGCCGGGGCTCTGGTTCAGGCTTCTCCTCGGGCCGGGGCTCCGGCTCGGGCCCCTCCTCGGGCCGAAGCTCCAGCTCGGGCCCCTCCTCGGGCCGGGGCTCCGGTTCAGGCTTCTCCTCTGGCCGGGGCTCGAGCTCGGGCCCCTCCTCGGGCCGGGGCTCGGGCTCGGGCTCTGGCTCGGGCTCTGGCTCAGGCTCGGCTGCACTCGCAACAGGCACTGGTGTCCCACCTTCGGGAGATGAGAGTTCCTGGGAAGGCTCGTAGGAAATAGATCCAGCTTGCTGTGAACCTGCAGAGCACAGGGAGGGCTTTTGTGCAGCGGAGAGGGTTGGCAGTGCCCACCATGATACCTCTGCTCTAAATGGGGGAGTGGGAGTTCCTGGCTGAAACACTCCATGCTGACAGTCTTGTCTCGGGGTGTTTTCTAACAAGGGCAGTCCAAAGTGCTCAGTTATTTCATAGCACAGCATTATGATAAAAGATAACATTTTTTTCATTTACATATATACACACATCTGTGTAAAGAGCAACTTTTTGGGATAACATTTGGCTCCATGGACTGGAACTGATCATTTGAGATCCCAGTGCTGCAGAAGCCTCACTGCCCTGCCATCCTCTGTGAAAACACACCCATATTATAAATCTGGTTCACCTGTCAAAACTTCTTCTCTACAGCTAGACCCAAAGGCTGCTCAGTCATCCACAGCTTGGGCTAGGAATTCGTGGAATGTCCACCTGATCAGGCAAAATATGGGTGAGCCTCATTCTGGCAACTGCTACTCCCTACGGGCTTGGCTTTGCCAGCTTGTCCTTTCAGGTCAGGTTCTGTGCATCTCAGCTGGAAACATCACAGATGACTACTGAAAATCATGACAAACTCTGTGCAAAGGGGATGTGCCCACTCTTGTGCTCATGTGTAAGGGATGATTTAATATGGCTGTGTCTAATTTAATGAGATTGCATATCTGCCAATGAACGAACATGCTGCTGTATAAAATCCTCCAGTTAGAAACCAGCAATTCCACTCAGTTCATTGTTGAGATAAATGGACAAATCCATAAGGAAATACCAGCTCACCTTTAGTGGCACTCGGCCTTAAAGAGTCAGCCAACTCTATAGCCAGGTGTCTCCTCTGCTGCCTGGAAAACAGAACTGTTGTTGACAGCTCATCTATCATGTTTAGAAAGCTGCAAGTAGTGGATATCTCTGCTTTAGGAACACAATTTCTGAATCTGTTTTTCTCTCTGCTCACAATTCCAAGTAACAGGCAGCAGTGTCACCAGAATACTCATACCTCAGTGGAAAGGAATTGCACCCACACAGATTCCTGTGAACAGACTGCCACTGCAGTGGCATCAGCTCTGCTGGCAGGAGAGCTGAATATTGTAATGGGGTTTGGATCAGGATTTTATGTGAAAGAGAAGGACAGATGCCCACAAGATCAAGAAAACAACTCATCTCCAAGAATATTTTCACTATTCTTATGTAGCTTCCTATGAATCTGACAGTGGTTTAGTGTGTACTCTGTACATAGTAGGAGGCACTTGCACCCTCAGACTGTGAAGGATTTTTGAGGAGACCAACAGTTTACTTCCAGGTGTACTGGTTTAGTTTTCCTTTTCCCTGTGACTTAAACTTTCCCTGAAGGCTTAAACTCTTGCACAAGCTTTGGGTCTCCTGCTAAACAGCCCGAAAGCTTGCAGAGTTCTTGTGTGTGACTCTGGAAACTGTAATCCAAACACAGTTTATGGATCAAAACAGAAATACAAACGCCAGTTTTGTTTCAGTGCCAGAGGTAGAAGCCACACCCAAATACTGTCCCTTCCCACATCTGTGGGGTTTTTTGGCTCTACATGTCTCTAGATAGGACTGGAATTAACATTTCACTCAGCATGTGCCTCGCCACCTCCTTGTGCAGCCTGGCAATAGAGGAGCCAGGAGGGACCAGAGAGAATCAGAACTTCTGGTGCCTAACGGAAAGGTTTTTCTTCTTTCATCCCTCTCTCTGCAGTTTCTTAATGCTCCTTTTCCCCTCAGAGCTCCCTGTTATTCATTACACAGACCTGATCCCCAATTCTCCCAGTACCTCTGGCTGTCCTGCTCCTTTGACAGCGGCAGGTTGGCTTCAGAGCCGAGGGATTCATGGGTGCTGACAGCTCTGGGAAGGCTGCTGGCATCCTTGAGCCTCTTCTTCTCCTTCACGATGAACTCATAGAGCTCTCGGCTGCGCTCGCAGCAGAATCTCTAGAAGGCGAGAGAGCAGAGCCGTGAGTGCGGCCCTTCCACAGCAAGCCCCTGCTCGTCCTTCCCACCGGCTTACGTCTTCCTGGTCCTCAGAGAGAGGCACATCCTCGGAGAAGGGGAACGGCCTCAGCAGGTTGCCACAGTACTCGCACGATGGCTCAGCATCCTCCTCTGCCTGCTGTGTTGGGGAGAGCGGGGAGGAAGGACATGGGGTACCAGCCCCAGATCCCCAGTTAGCACGGTGAAAATGCAACAGATGTGACAAAGCACCTAAGGGCACTCACGACAGACCCATCTCTGGGATATCTTGGAATGATTTAACTCAAAACATTAGGTTCAGGAAACCACCAAAAAGAAAAGCAAATATGTTGTAAATAAATCAATAAATGCCCCCAAACAAAGGGAATGACTGGTATTTGTGAGCTCTGCTCCTTCCCAGGGAAGCTGAGAAAGCAGAACACTGTAGCTGAGTATTTGAATGCATTATAGAGAGAAAAACTCCAGTTGTGGGAGTTTCTGAGGAAGCACCAGCAGACTTGGTGCTATGGAGCTGGTCACATCTGACCAGATACAAACCAGGTTGGCAGCAGGGTGTGTTTTGAGGATGGTACTGGATATCTGGAAACAAAAATCCCTTGCTCCTCACCTCATGCCTTGAATTAACTCTTTGGTGACTTTGCTCTGCTAAGGGTTACGTGGAACTCTGTACTCTGCCTGTATGTGGCTGTACCTGGTTATATACATTTTGTGTCTGATTCAGACAAAATATTCTGCTGGGAAATTCTCAACAGCGGGTGCAGCAGTGGGGAGAGGCTGCACAGCCTCTTACCGCCCGGGCTGTTTCAACAGCCTCCCGAAGAAAAACCTGTCACGAAGGGGCTCCTTTGCCGCCCGGTTAGAGCGTTGGTTCCATGTTTTCTATATGGAAGCATGTGAATGAAGCAGCGGGGAGCAACCGCCCCAACTGACCTCATGGTGAACGTTTGCCTGCGAGGACTCGGGTCTGTAGGCCAGGAGGGTGGGCAGGCCCGTGGGGGTCGGCTGCGGGCTGGCCAGGGCAGTCTCGCACCGCGGCTCTGCAGGGCGGCCCGTGTCCTCCTCGGGGCGCGGGGGCCAGCGGGGCTCGCCCTCTCCATCGTCCGCCGCTCCGCTGGGCTCCGCGGCCCAGCCCGGCCCTTCCATGCCCGGCCCGTCCGTGCCCGGCCGTTCTGTGCCCGGCCGTCCCGTGCCCGGCCGTTCTGTGCCCGCCCGTCCCGTGCCCGTGCCCGCCCGTCCCGTGCCCGGCCGTTCTGTGCCCGCCCGTCCCGTGCCCGTGCCCGCCCGTCCCGTGCCCGTGCCCGGCCGTCCCGTGCCCGGCCCGCCGCGCCACCGTCTCCAGGGCAACGCTGAGGGCGCGGGACCCGCCGGGAGAGCGCGGCGGCGGCCCCGGCCCGGCCGCTCCCGCCCGGTATCCGGTACCCGGTACCCGGTACCCGGTCCCGGCCCGCCTCGGCGGGGCTGCGGGCGCTGCACCGCCCGGGACCCGCGGCCGGGAGCGGAGCCCGGGCGGCTGTGACGGTGCAGCCGGAGGCGCCCGGCCCGCGGGGGCCCGCGGTGCTGCGGGGGCCGCGGTGCTGCGGGGGCCGCGGTGCTGACGGGACCGAGCCGCCGCGCTCGGTGCTGGTCCCGCCGAGCCCCGGAGCTGCTGCTTCTGCCGGCAGACTGGGGGTGATACGCGTTCCCAAAGCCGGCGGGACTGCGTGCTCGGACACCCCCTGTCTGCACCGGAACACCTGCCCGAGTGGATTCCTTGCGCCTGTGTCACACCCTTGTCACACATCTTCCTGATCTCTCCCGTAGGAGTTGGCGCTGCCGAACCTCTCCAAGGAATCTGCACATTCAGCTCGGAGAATAAAAGCGAGAAAACTGTCTTGCGCAAAAGCAGCCAGGTTTGGATTCCCCTCGGGAGAGCAGGTGTGTGCCACTTTACCTGTGCTGTCGGTAGGAATTCGCAGTGTCCTACTAGCACGTGAGTTCCACAACAGAGAAGTCAGTTTCACTTATTTCTCAGAGGGAAAGAGCGTGTTGAGGTGCAGGCTGCGGTATCGGTGGTTCACCTGGTGTCGGTGCTTACAACTCCCCATAGCACTGCGAGATCACTTCCACGTCTCTCTGGGATGGCCACAGCCCTTGGGTCTGGCTGTAGCACCGAGTGCCTGTCCCGGCAGCACGGCCGGGGGTGGGCCATTCGAAGTGAGCTGTGTTCACTCTAAACTCATCAGTCCCTGGACAGGTGCATTTTAATTTGTGTTTGAAGTGGAAATAGTTTTTAGGGGGAGCTCTAGAACCACAGCAGATGCTCCTGGTGGGCTGGAGAGCAGCCAAGGGGCTGCAGGGCACCTGCCAGGTGCTGTAGCCTGGCTGGGGGTCTGCAGGCAGAGTCAGGTGTGGTGACAGCACGGTGACAGGGGCAAGGACCCCTCCAGGGAGAGCCAGCCCATGCCAGGGGATCCCAGCTGATCCAGCACGGCCGAGCACACAGTGTAACCGTGCATTCGTGTGTTAGCACAGCTCCTCACTGTAAGTTTTGCAAAATATTTATTGCAAAATAAAAGAAATATGGCAACAAAACTTAAATACCAAATGACAAGACACTGGCCATAAAGCTCTTGCTATGTTATGAATCTTTTACAATGATCAATAGTAGAGTGTGTCCCAGGGCAGCTGCACGTGGACAACCTTGTGTCACTGGCTCCAGCCATCTGCAGTCTGTGAGACTTGTGCCTCCTGCCTGCACCTGTACCTGGCCTGATTCCCCTGAAGCAGACAGGAGCCAGCAATTCCATGCATTGCACATGCCATACCCCAGCCCCTTCTCTCCTTTTTCCTATTGACCCAGTGGCCTTCCCTTCCATAAGGTAGCAGGGAATGGAGGAACATTGCTGAAGTACCTACTGTTCCCCTCACAGCTTCTCCTGTGAGAGGTTGCTTGGATTTCCTTCCTTTTTCACCTACTAGGAAAGGACAGGCAGCCAGGGGTCAAGTTAGGATTGCTAGAGCCTGAAAGAATTAAATCTGGCCAGGGGCATCAAGGGCAACAAGCAAAGCAACCTCTAAAGGTACACTGGTGATAAAAGGAAGACCTGGGACAATGTGGACCCTCTATGGAAGGAAATGGGAACACCAGTTCCCTGGGACTTGGAGAGGGCTGAGGTACTCAGCCACGTTTCTGACTCAGCCTTCGTGGCAAACTGCTCCAGCCACTCTGCCCAAGTCGCAGGAGGCAGAGAGTGGGAGAGCAAACAACTGCCTGCAGCAGGAGAGGACTCGGGTCGAGGGGGTCAAAGGGACCTGAAGGTGCACAAGTCCATGGGACCTGACGAAATGCACCCGTGGGTTCAGAGGGACTGGTGGAGGAAGCGGCTTGGCCACTATCATCCATCACATTTGAGAAGTTGTGGAATCCAGAGGCGTTCCCACTGACTCCGAAAGGGGAAACATAACCCTCTTTTTTTAGAAAGAGGACAAAGGAAGATCCAGAGAACTACAGGTGGTCAGGTCTCACATCAGTGCCTGGAAAGAGCTTGGAGCAGATCCTCCTGAAAACTATGCTAAGGCACATGGAAAATAAGGAGGTGATTGGTGATAGTCGACATGGCTTCACTAAGGGCAAATCATGAGAACTCAAGAGTCCCTTCCAGGGCCCAATGGTGTTACAAGAGAGCTGGAGAGGGACTTTGGACAAGGGCCTGGAGTGACAGGACAAGGGGGACTGGCTTCCCACTGCCAGTGGATAGGGTGAGATGGAATACTGGGCAGGAATTGTTCCCTGGGAGGGTGGGCAGGCCCTGGCATAGGTGCCCAGAGCAGCTGTGGCTGCCCCTGGATCCCTGGCACTGCCCAAGGTCAGGCTGAACACTGGGGCTGGAGCAGCCTGGGACAGTGGAAGGTCTCCCTGCCATGGCAGGAGGACTGGAACAGATGATAGTCTCTTCTAAACCAAACCCTCTTGTGATACTAAAGCCTTTTATTAAAGCTCACCAGCATCAGAGGGAATCTGTACTGCTGATGAAAGGGCTTTTTAGGTGTGCTCCAAACAGGAGCCTCTTAAGCCATATATCCAATGGAAGCACTCTTTACATAAAATATAATTAAATTACAAAAGGTGTGTAGTCTTGTGTGTAGTCTTCCTAAGGCACCCAAGAATTTTAAAAGACCTTCTTGTCCTGCTCACGTTACTTACAGCACACTCTTGTTCCTCTTCTGCCCAAAATTACAGCTGTTGGCTGTAGAACCTTAGCATACAAGATGACATAGTTGAATAGCATGAAAAATGGGAACCAAAACCAAACCCCAGTGAAGCACTACATCCAGACAGCTCGAGTTTCGCTAGCAATGCATCACGGGCAACACATGGAAATTGTCACGTTGATGCCGAGGTTTCCGTTGTCAGCAAAAAGGTGTGCAGTAGCTGTATCAAAAATGAGGCAGTTGCTGTTGCGGATGGCCACGGACACGCCGTCATGGATGGAGCAGGGAGATGCCTCCCAGGTCAGCCGGTGGCAGCTGCTGTGCAGCTCCAGTCTGTACTGAAAGTTCTCTGCCTGCTTACGGGTGCCAATGAGCAGCACGGTGGCAAAAAACTGCTGGTGACCTTCACACTTCTCCTGTTTCTTCAGCACCAGCATGAAGTGGTGACCAAAGCATGACTGCATCATCACCCAGTCCACTGCCCCTGGCAGGTTAATGTCTGTGGCAAGGAAAATGATGTCTTCTCCCTGAAGGGTGGTAATGCTTTTGTGGGCATGCATGAGGTGGGACATCACGGCTTCCAAGGACCCCTCCCAGTCACAGGAGGTACCAGGGCACGGGCAGGAGTAGGGACGGTACTCACAGATGGCTTCATGTTTTGGCTTTTCTGTGTGGTGGAGGGTCAGGGAGCAGCCTGTTGTGGCATACTGGAAAGAGACCAAACACAAGCTGTCAGTAAAGGCACCAGCCCTAGTATGTGCTGCTCCCACCCGTCAACTGGAAACACAGGTGATCAACCAGAGCTCTCATTCTCATTGCAAACTTTACATTGTATGGAGCCCTGGCTTCAAGCTGAGCTTTACTTAGTTTTTGTTTCCACTTAAAATGGATTCTTCTCATCTTTTGAGGTAGTTTTTTCCTAATGCAAGCACTTAGATAAAATGGGCTGTATGGCTGCGTTGCTGTTAGATCTGCTGTAGTAGTTAGATCTGATCCGTCCAGATCAGCTGGAGAGGTCCTGGCTTGGATATTCCTTTTCTTTAAAAAGAACAGAGGATTCTAGTTTCAACAACTGGGATGGTGGGTGGGTGTCCTCTACAGGAGGATATAAGGGGGTGGTCTGGGGATATGGATGTGGGGATGATGGCTGGGGGTTTTCCGCAGGGGTACAGGGATAGGGTTTTTTTGCAGGGGTACAGGGATGGGGGTGATGTTTGGGGGTTTTCCGCAGGGGCACAGGGATCGGGGCTGGTCTGGGTGGCCCTCCCGTCCCCCTGCCCAGCCGCTCATCCTTACCTTGCACGGGAAGAGGACGGCCGAGGCCACCTTCTCCATGGCCAGGTTCCTGATGTTGGGGGTGAGGGAGCCACGGCAGGTGGGACAGAGGCTCAGCTGCTGCCGGCATTGCTTGCACACCAGGTGCCCGGCCTGGCACTGCAGGATGGGCGGCAGGATATAGTCGAAGCAGATGGGGCACTCGAAGAGCGAGGTCAGCTCCTGCTGCTGCTGCTGTTGCTGCTGCTGGGGGGGAGGAAGAGGAGGAGGAGGGGGAGGCGGCGGAGAAGCGCCGCCGGTCCCCGGCAGGACGGCGGCGGGGGACGGGGCGTGCTGCTGCTGCTTTCCGCAAGGCTTGCTAGGGCCGGGGCCGGCGGAGGACGGGCGGCTCATCGCGCCTCGCCGCCGCCGCCGCCACCATCGGGCCGCGCGGGGCGGCGGGCGGAGGCGGAGGCGGAGGAGGAGGATGAGGATGAGGAGGAGGAGGAGGAGGAGGAGGAGGATGAGGATGGACGGGGCGGTGCGGGGCGAGCGGCGGCTGCGCGCGGCACCCGCCCCGCTCCCGGCGTGCCCCGCGCGGGCCCGCCCGCGCTGCGCGGGACCGTGTCCCTGAGGGGGAGCGTGTCCCTGAGGGGGAGCGTGTCCCTCAGGGGGACAGTGCCGCTTCACCGGGACCGTGTCCCTCACCGGGACCGTGTCCCTCGGGGGGAGCGTGTCCCTCAGGGGGACAGT